AGCAGGTCAGTCAGTGGGGGAGGGAGGAGGAGGGGGCCTAATCAAGGCCCCTGTGGTCAGGGACCAAATGCAGCAGCAGTCTGGTAGTGGGGCCACAGCTCAGCAGGTGGTGGGAGGATTGAGCCTGGGCAACTTGTCCAGGGGAGGGGAGTGGGGTGGACCCAAGTGGAGGCCCCAGGGGGCATGCGCCCCCACATCTGTGCCTGGCGGATGCAGCTGCCACTGTGGGCTGGGCTTTGCACCCCGAGCCCCGCTGCAGCTTCCCAGGGAGGGGCCCAATGCCACATGCATCCAGCCTCTCCCAGGCCAGCTGTAGTGGGGTCCAGGCGCAAAGCCCAGCCTCCGGCAGAAGCTGCCTCCACCATGCGCAGAGTGGGGGCATGTGCCCCCCCCAAACATGGGGTAGTGCGGGCAGCTGCAGCAGCGGTCAGGGAGGGAGTTGTGGCTGGAGCAGGGGTAGGCCTTGCACAGCCAGGGTGGAGCCAGGACGCAGCCGTGAGCAGCTCGTCCTGGGGGGGCACTCACCACAAAAGAGCATGGGAGGCGTGTGCCCCCAGAATTGCACAAGGCAGGCCAACGCAGCCTGAGGCTACTGGCTCGGGCCATATTGTTCCCAGCGGAGGATACAGCTGTGCTCCACTCAGGCCGGGCGGTGCTACAACATCACTGCTGGGCCCAACCTCAGTGCAGCTGCAGCCTCCACCAGGATCAGGCCAGTGCCACCTCCCAGCCCCAGCCCTCCCCACCAGGGCACAGGGGCCATATGCCCCAGATCTGTGCAGGGGAGGGCAGGCTGATCTTGACAGAGGCTGCAGCCACAGTGAGATCAGGCCTGGTAGCGGTGTCACTGGGAGGGGGCTGAGGGGGCTACAGACAATTTTTGGGTGGCTGGAGCTCCCCATAGCCCAGCTCCCAGCACTGCCACATCCTCCGCCGGGAACAGCCCAGCCCCAGCCAGCACCTGCAGCCTGTCCTGCCCCACCCCGTGCAATTCCAGGGGCATATGCCCCAACTCCCGTGCCTTCCCAGGGTAAGTGCCCCCTCTCGGCCACCTGGACAAGCCACTTATGGCTCCGTCCCACCCCAGCTGTACAAGGCCTGTCCCCTGCTCCAGCTCTACTCCCTCCCTCACTGACATGGGACATAGAGGGAGAAAAAATTATTTGGGGGCATGCCTCCCCAGCAGGTAAGTCTATCTCCACCTCCACCCTCCCCCTAACTTACCTGCTGGGCAGGGTGGAGGGGGGTGGTGGCGTCACTGGCACAGGGTAGATCTTGAGTTCCTTTTAAATTCCAAAAGTGATCTCCGACTTAAAAAGGTTGGAGACCACTGCTCTACATCATACAGGAGTCCAGATTATATAATCTAACAGTCTCATTTAGCCTGGGTATCTACAAATTCATGCACTTTACTCCATGCTCAAAATCTCAATAAAGCAGTGCTACAGTGAGAGCTATACAAGGAGTTCTGCTTGCACAGACAGAAAGAAAGGATAGGACACTTTGGCCTATGTGTCAAATCCAATGAGGAAAGAAATGGCCCTGCTGTTCCCAGTTATGTCAGTTTAGTGTTTTCAAGGATCAGGTTAATCACTCCAGACACATTCTTAAAACCCTGGAAGACTACTGCCTGCCTCCTTCAGTGCACTGCTGTTCAGTTTTCTTACCCCAGTAACTCATGCAAGTCCAAAGAAACCATCATATGGCAATATAACCTCACAGTGAGGTGGCCTCTTTCTATGCAGCATGCACTGCCTAGACTCAATCTCCCTTCCAAGAACTGATAGTTCCTTCCAGATTAGGAGCTACTAAGCTATATTAGTCTCCTCAGAACTTCTAACATATTCTTAACATGGAGAGGATAATTCTTCCTCAGTCATCTGACTCTCAGAACTTTGCCTGTAGAATTCAATTTGCTCACAGCTGTTCTGTTTGCTGTGATGATTTCAGCCTCACAAGCCAGCAATTTCCTGCCAAGACCTCCAAATAGTTCAGAGACAACAGTCAGACTGAAGCAAGGGCTAGGAGGCCATCTTACTTTGACACACTGACCAGGACAGACTGCATCTTCCCCTCTGAAATTAATGTTAGAAATCAGAAGCCGTTGCAAGTCCACAGAGCTGAACAATTTCATGCATAAATGCGTGTGGCCAACCATGAAAACAATTTAGGGTTTGGCATGCTCGGAACATTATCCACAGGTTCTGGGAGGGCAGGGAGCCAGAGTAGAAGTCTCCTCACATCTATCCACAGAGCTCTGAACTGGAATCTAGAGAGCTTCCCTCACCATCTGTAAGGTAAGTTGCAAGCTTCTAGGTAATGACAGGAACCAGAGAAAAAAGTCAAATGGCTAACTACATTTTTAAAAACAGACCCAATTTACACTTAACTCAGCCTCATTTTACCAGAAAGGGAGCTAAGAGAGGAAGAAAATCTCTAGCTAACTAAGAACAGAGGCTGTTCTTTTGAAATCTGCAAGTGTAAACAGCAATTACAAATTAACCACACTGGAGAGACCAGGGAGTGGCTTTCACAAATATAGAGAGAAGGGTCAAACCTCTAGCTGGGAAAGGCAGCAGAATGCAAAGTGACAATCTTCTTGTGAAACAGCCATTAATCTGTCACTCAGACCCATCTCAAGATGCACCCCAGGGAATTATGTGCAGAAAAATTCAAAATTATGCATAGACAAATTCAATATTATACAAAATTACTTACCTTTTTCACTAATAAAACTTAATATAACACTATTTGAACCTTCTCTAGAAATACAAAATTGCATGCTATCAGGCCAGGCTTCCTCTTTGCCTCCACATGTGACTTCCCGCTGGAAGCCCTATGTGGAAGCATGGAGCCAGCTGGCGCAACCCAATGTTGCACAGCTCTCAGACATCCAGAAACCCCACACCTACCCCCATCCTGCAGGCAGGAGTTCCCCTCCCCACTTATCAGATGTCCAGTTGTGTGCCACCGCTCTCAGTGCCTCCACACGGGGCTCCCAGCTGGAGCACTGGGAGCCCCACAGTGGTGCAGGGAGGCACACAGCCTGCTGGAGTTAAATTATGGAAAATTATGTGATTATGCATGGTCATGCCTTTTATGCACAAAATTGCTCAGGTGCATAATTCCCCAGGGTGTATCAAGATCAATGCCAACAGCAGTCTGGAACTAACCCAGGCCCTGTAACACAGGTGCTATACAGGAGAACAAGTCCAGACAACTGATGGAGGTGGTAGCACTATGCAGGCTCACTGTGGTACATGCCTAGACTCCCCTAAGCACTTACACCACACTTAGAAGTGATCCCATCTCCCAACTCCTTTGGAAGACAGGTTAATTTAATTAATTTCTCTTATTGTAGAAAGGATGAAAGTCAGAGAGAAAAATCACTCATCTAAAGTCACATAGCAAGTGAAAGATAAGAGCCAGAAGCTAGAAGTTAAACTCCTGTGTTCCCAGCAAGACTTTTCCCCAAATGTGGGGCTCTAGCCCTCTTTAGTGTCTGAGATGGGACATTGGTATTATGCTTACCAGAGAAGTAGGGAATGTTGGTTACAAAATAAGATCTGGCTGCAGAGGAAACAGAAGGATTTTTTTCTAGTGAAGCAGACACATACTTTGGCTAGAAAAGCCAAGAGATCTTCAAAACATGGAAATTTACTGAGATTTTTTAAGCAAACAGGTGCTACTTCCCTCTTTCTGGTTCCCTAGTTTTGAGACTGTCATTACAGTTTTGGACAGCTGAAATAAGGCTGATCACCTCTGCCTGCTTTTAATTCTTTTTACTCACTCTTTATTAAGGCAACCAAATCTTCTTCACCATATGCCAAATTGGACATTTGACAGGAGTCTAAGTACTGCCCCCAGTTTCTGTAAAATGAAGAGGGCTACACAGAGACACCAGGATCTATGCAGGAGTTGGGCTAGATGAAGACTGTTCAACTGGCATCCTGCAGTTTAAACTGCAGCCCCCAGACTCCCTTCCAGGTGCTGCTTCCCTCATCTCTTCAGCTACTTTGGGCAGGGCCTCCAGGTTCCCTCTCCATCCTCTGACTTGTGCTTCCTGTCCCCACCCTTGGGGGCAGGACCACAAACCCTGGGAGCATGAGGCTCTGGGATCTATGTAGCCCAGCCCTGCACAGGAGCCTACAAAGTGGCAGGAGCTTGAGGTGGCTCACACAATAGGGGCACAGGGCCATGGTAAGATTGCACAGCAGGGGAAACACAGTTGGACAGCCCAACTGTGCAATTCTACGAAAATGCTATATATGGAGATAGCTTACAGACTGCTCAGACCAAGAACAAGCACTACACATTGGGACCTGGTCTCCCCAAAGCACCATATCTTTGTATTAAGCAAGAACAGCCATAGGCTTAATTGTTAGTCACACCACAACAACATTTAACCCAAAGACCAAATCTTGACTTTTGTTGCTTTATATCACGGTGACATATTATGAGATTTAATATCTAGTCTACCCCCTCCATGTACAGGGTGCAGTCACCTGAATGTATGATATTACACTGTACTTCAGCCAGTAAGAAAAAACTGAGGCAGTTTTATTTGAAATTAGTCAGTTCTCTTTGCCTGGGACTTGCACCAAAATCAATTTGTTTCTAGCTTTCCAAGCATACAGCTCAGAAAGGAATCTGTCTGTAGCTTTAATATGACTAATATTTTCCATTTGTGCTAACAGTCCTGAGTAACACTCAAACACCACAGTTTCCTACACTGAGCTTTTTGCTCTACTCACCCTTTAGAAACATCAGCCTCCCTGGTGCTGTTTAAAAATGCTGACTGCTCAAATGAAGTGAATAATCAGATACAAAAAATGCAATTACTAATTAACACTGAACCTCTGGCATGGACTTGAGAGCAACACTGGAGTAATAGCTTGCTATTTGGCCTTCTCCTCTATGCACTACCAAATGCATGGTTTGGCTCTGGATGCCCCAGCCTTTGTAATCAATATAAGTAAGATTTAAATGAGTAAAGATACCTCACAAGACGAAGCGAGTCTTTGCGGATGTTCACCAAACTTCTCAGGGTCTTCACAGGTTCATGTGGTGCTGGGGTTACATAAGGAAACTAGAAAAAAAAAGACACAGGGCTTTGTTAATACACCAGCTTAGTGTATTAGATTTATAATGAAATACAATCTACCCTACACAAAAAGTGTCCAAACAGCCTCAAAATACTCTTCTTTCTTCATTTAACCAAACTACAATTGGCACTAACCAGCAAATCTGCTAGAGGTATTAGTAGACAGACTACCTGAATAGGCAATGGAGACTGACCACTCCTCTTCAGCTCAGCAAAGCAGCCTAAGTACACTGGCAAAGCACGGTGGAGAGTTTGCCCTGGATCTTGCCATTTTATTCTCAGGAACAGACAACTTAGTTCCCATGGCATCACTGCAGCCCTTTATACCAGAATTAGTTACCCCTGTATTAAAGAACTGAAAGCCTGAGGACTGGAAGAGGGCCAACACTGTGCCCATCTTTAAGAAGGGGAAGAGGGAGGATCCAAACAACTATAGGCCAGATCAGACTAACCTCTGTCCCAGGGAAAATCCTGGAAAAGACTGGCACCAATGTAAGGAAAATTAATGGTATTGGCAATTGGCTTTTTTTGGCTGATAATGTCACCGATAAATGCCCCCCATGCATTGCGCTGCAGCTGCAGCGCAACACACAATCGACCAGAAGCACAGCCCAGCAGCATCTGGCTGGTAGTCTGCTGTGGGGGAAGGG